ATAATTGAGTTAATTGATACAAACTACCGTACAAAGTACAGGTGACAGTGATTCCTCCGTTAAAGAGAGATTTGAGGATAAGTTGTGCCACGAACTTTTCACGGCACTATAGCTCTCTTCTAGCTCTACAAACTTAGCGCTCTGCCATTTTGAGGAAAGGAAACTTCATTCACTCCTCAAAGAAGGCTAACAAATTTCACGAGTGTTTTGGCTGACAGCGTTCTTTTCATGTACTTATTTTCATTTGTACAAACAAAATTGTCCGTCGACCAACAGTCCATTACAAGCCACGGTACGAGGACACAACATCACGATTCATAATGCTCCAAATTTTAAACAGGGGAAGGGGAGCTCACTGCGCATGCCTACAGTCAATGTTTGGCAGCGACATTGGCTGGGCTTGGACTTCCAGAATACTGGCGTCTGTTGTGTAGCAGTAATGCGCTTTGTTGTCGCACGCAGGAGACCCGAGTTTTATGGCACTTACAACACAATTAGGTCACACAATGCGGAAGATTAAAGGTATTACAAGAGAGTAACAAACACAAGAAAGAAGAAAGCGAGATAAGGACCATAGACAACCTGGCTCAACACCTTTCATGCAATTTAAAGAACTCACTTCTGTGTGGATTTTCCTTTAAAAAAGTTGATTAAAGGCACAACAAATATACTTTTTCAGTCACCATGGACTCTTTAAGCTAAGGAAATAACTAATCTTTGGCGGCCATTTTCTCACTAATTTTACCTCTGAAAACAGGTGACCCCCACCTCTTTCATTGGCAAATATCTCGACTTGTATTCAACATAAATGGGTATTTTTTTTCCATTCTAATAAAGAAAAGTGAACAGGCTTTAAGATGACACCAATAACTCTACATGCCCAAAAATTGACGAGAGCCTGATTCCACCACGCTGCCTCACTTATATGTTTTCTAGAGCTAGAGAAGAATTAGGAGCAAACCACAGCAGAGCACCTACCACAGTAATTTGCTGGTGACAAGAACCAAAGTAGCAAAATGTCCTCCAGTCTCTTCTACAACAAGCTACTGCTACAATACGTGAGAACCGCCAGTAACAGCTTCTGTGGCAGCAGTCAAGATCTTACCTGTGAGTCGGACACTGGTCTCAGTTCGTGGGTTCTTGGCGGTGGCGGTGGCCATAATTTGGTCCAGTGTTGAGCAAGAGAGTGACTGGTACTGGTGGAGTCTGTGAGGTTTTTACTGGTGGGAAAACTCTTGTCTCTGGACACCTCTGAAAGTGGGGACATTTCATGTATACTCTGTCACTCAATGGGATTAATAGTTCTTAAATTTTTTAATAATTATAAGCCAAAGCCAGGTATATAAATATTTTTCCCTCATTTCAATGCTTATAATAATAATTTCACGAAGAATGCCAAGCAAATTAATTATTAGCCGTCAAACTTGCCAATGACATTGTAGGTACTTGATAATAATGATAAGGAGAAGATTGTATTTATTTATAGCTCAACTTGCACACGGGACCTCAGGGATTTTTCGCCTTTATCCGAGAAGGCTAGGATTTAGATCTTGCCTACCATAAGATCAGGGGTGTGGCTGAAACACAGCAGTAAGAAGGAGCCAAGGAGTAGCAGTAGAAAGGGTGCAGAAAGAGTCAGGAGTCCAGAGGAGGAGGCAAAGAGGAGGGGGTGGGGGCAGAAAGTGGAGACGAAAGCAGACGACAGAACATTGTTAGAGAGCAGGAAAGGATGTGAAAGGAGACAATTTTAGAGAAGAAAATTTTCCACTGCTGTTCGGTTTCGAACCCTGGACCTATTGAATGAGAGGCGAACTCCTTGACCTCTCGACCATGAGAGCCCCCTTCTAACACACTACAACAAATAAGACTTAGCCACCATTGAAACAGATTAGGATTTGCCATTTCTCAGAGGTCCTGGGACAAGGAGTTCCAAATCTTAGGGCCAAAAAATGAGAACCTTTTCCCATCAGCAGATCTTAATTTCCTTCTAGGCACTAGAGGCTCTGACATCAGTTGTAATTTTAAGGTGCCTTATCTTACCGATTCTTTTGAGATCAAAATCTATTCATTTTCAATGAATATAAAGCCAACATGTGTAAAGTGTAGACTGTTGCCGACCGTCACTTTCCACCGGCCGGTGTAGAACAGAAAAAGATGAACAAGGAAAGGGCTTAAAACCTGACCATGAGATGGAAGTGACAGTAAAAGAATACTTTACTTTCTGTGAATTCATCAGGCAAGAACCATACAATGTTCTAATTATAACCTCTCTGATATAGATCTAGACCTACATCCCACACAATAATATAATAATAACAATATTAATATGGATATTTGTAATCGTAAATTAAAATAGGCTACTACGACTTGATCAACGAGACTGCTAACTTAGCTAACTAGAGCTACTTTTACTAGGCTAGGCCACCATCACACTGGGCCACTAGATATCTATTTTGATTTTGATCTGAAGGCAAGATAAAAGGGAACCCCCCAAATAATGAACTGAAAAGACGGGAGACATAAATCCTGGCTGAAGTCTCAAAGTAACTGAGGTTTTATCAAACTTTTAAATGTTTCCAAACTTTGGGGGGTCGAGCTGGCTCTGCTTTCCTGCACAATTCTCCAAGGAAAATGGCGGCGCTGATTAGGCGGGGTATTTTTACATAGGTACTTTCCTTGAAAGCACTTTATTTTATTTTATTTTTTGTATAAAGGAAATATCCTATACAGATTTCGTTATACAGCCAAAACCGCAAAAATTTTCAGGATAGGAAAAAAAATCTGTTTCATTCTTTCAACAATTGTACCTACATTTCGTACCTGTTCTTTTCACAACTGTACCTACATTTTGTATATTGATATTTTCTTTCTTTTCACAACTGTACCTACATTTTGTATATTGATATTTTCTTTCTTTTCACAATTGTACCTACATTTTGTATATTCATATTTTCTTTCTTTTCACAACTGTACCTACATTTTGTATATTCATATTTTCTTTCTTTTCACAACTGTACCTACTTTTGTATATTCATATTTTCTTTCTTTTCACAACTGTACCTACATTTTGTATATTCATATTTTCTTTCTTTTCACAATTGTACCTACATTTTGTATCTTTTCTTTTCACGATTGTACCTACATTTTGTATCTTTTCTTTTCCCAATTATTGTACCTACAATTTGTGTCTGTTCTTTCTTTAAACAGTTGTACATATAGTTTGTATCTCTTCTTTTCACAATTGTACCTACATTTTGTATCTTTTCTTTTCACAATTGTACCTACATTTTGTATCTCTTCTTTCTTTTTTCAGTATTTAGATTTTAAAATTGGGCAAAAAATATTTAATTCGATAAAAACAACCGATACCACAGATCTGCAATTCAAAACAAATTTTAAAATTCACCAAGAAAAAAAAAAGAAAAAGAAAAAGAAAAAATGAAACCATAGACCAAGTACATGAGAACATTGCCCAAGGAAATATGCGCCTTAAAAACATGTAACTTTACGAACAAACTTCCACATCCCGAGACTGAACTATATAT